CTCGAGTACGCATTTATGTGCCTAGAGGGATTCCGAGCTCAGTGATGAACTTCCCTGTCTCCCCACTCCCCTGGGAGTGCAGCCGCACCCCCATCTTCACAGAGTGGGTGCTCAGCCACTGCCTAATGGGTCCAAAAGGAAGGATGATACGAGTTATCAGGCAGAGCACTTAAGATGTGCCAAGCATCCTACCATGAGCCTATGAAGGAAGCTCATCATCATCAGAATTATCATCAGACTGGCAGGGGGTGTTCAGCAGTCACATTCTCACCTTTCATGCTGAAGACCCGTGTTCAATTCCAGGCTAGTTCAGTCTCATGTGCAGTCACCACCCACCTGTCGTGGATACCAGTGTATTTCAGTGATGCCGAGCATGTTTCAAGGGGAGATTCCAGACCTTAGTCTGGACCAGGCAGAAGATCCTCTGAAGGAAACCCCAGGGATCGTAAAGATCTGATCCTACTGAGTACTTGGTCACCATGAGTTGAAGGATAACGTGTTGGCAGCTAACTAAAATAGCATCAGGGCCATGTATTAGGCGAGGGGACTGAAACACAGAAGTGAAGAGTCAGGGTTTGCATTGGGTGGCCTGGGCCTGTAAGCTGCTGTTGGAGCCAAGTCACGGCACCGTCTCTGAGTAGTACGGTTGGTAATGGTGATGGAGCGGATGGAGTGCCCTGAGGGCAGAATCCAGCTAGTGTCATTGTTGAGGTCACTCAGACGGGTCCAGCCCTGAAAGAATGGCTGGCCCATGCTCATGGAGTATGACTCATTTGCTGAGCTGGAATGCAGAAGGGGGCACCAGCTTGGGTCCAGGAATTAGCCCAAAGTTCTAGCTTCTAAGACCTGGACTCAAAAGCCAGCGCCTGGCTGACCTTTCCAATGACGACAATGAAGACAATTGGCAAATGGACTTAAGGGCCAGTCTGGAAAGGAGTGCCCTCAGGCATCTCATCAGGAAATGAGGTAACCATTTAATTTGGGGACAAAGAGCCATTTTCAGCAGGCATTTACTGCATGGGTCCCACGATGCCTAAGGGCACTGAGGACTCAGGAGGTACATGTGTCCTGGATTCTGTCTTGGAGAAGCTTCTGGTTAAACGAGAAGATGGAGGTCTGTCTTCTCCGCTGCCTGGTCATTGGCCGTGGGCTGTCAGCTCCATCTGATAGAAAGCACTGAGCTTTCTCTGTTACTACGCCAGGCCAGCCAATGGAGGTGGGGCACACTGGTGGATGGCTTCTGGTAGGAGGACCCAACTCCCTCTTTGGCTGTAGGAGCTGGCCCTGGCACTGTGCTTCTCTGCTACATCATGAGAGCTGCAGTGAGGGGCCACCAGAGGCCAGCTGAGCAGCAGGGCACTTGTTCTTTCTGGGGAACTGCCATCTCCAGCGCCCACTCCCGTTGAGCTGTGAGCAAGTTCCAAGTAATTAAGTGGATTAGCTTCTGGAGCCCTGGTGGCCGTCAGCCTGGGCATCCGTGCTGGGAGCTCCTGGCTGTGCCTAGTACTGGTGGCCAGTTGAGCACTGGGGGTGCACCTAGCCAGGCATCCTCTCTGCCTGCCTGGCTGGGGCTGACCGAGGAGGGGCTTACCCTCGGGGAACTTTCTGTATATAGGGAGCTGATTAGTCTCTTTTGAAACCCACATTTGCCACCAATCACAGCTTCTGTGGTGCTGGGCTGTCATGGCAACTAAAAGCATATCTGAAAATAAAATGTCACGCTCGCTCTTTTTAAGATGTTTCTTCTGCAATGACACGGGGAAGTTGTTTCTCCATTTTCACTTGCCATGATGACGAGAGGAGATGGAAATGGGTGGGCCTGGGTGGGCAAGGGGTATGTAGTGTGTGAACATTTGAGGCGTGGGTGCTTATGTTGACAGGGCCAGGGGGTGCAGAGCAGATGTGTGCAGCAGTGTCGGGCTGAGCCGCATTGTCTGTCAGTGTTTGGAGACTGGTCTCTGAGCGTGTGTCCGAGGACAGGTGTTGTTGGCCAGGTGTGTGTGATTGTGTGTGCAGGTGCTAGTGCACAGGTGTGTGAAGGTTTCTGAGGATGGGCATTACACATACACCTGGCTGTGTGGACAGGCAGGACGTACATGCTGTTTGATGAGTCAAGACCTTTGGCTTTGGGAAGCTTTCTCTCTGTAGGGTGTCTGCTGGGTCCTTATGCCCAGGAAGCCCCAGGCCAATCATGGGAATGAAAGCCCACTTTTGGGGAGTCCCACCACCATCCCAGCACCCCAGAGAAGCAGAGGTGTCCAGGTTGAGAGCCTCCAGAAGCCATCAGACCAGCTCTGTGGGTGGTGTGGGGGCTTTGTGCTCAAGGTGCATGTTCCGGATGGACTACCTCGTCATCGCTGATTTATCCATCAGTCATTCGCGAGACTAGCTGACACAAGCTGCACTATCCAAGGAACTTTGGGCCAGGCCCTTCCCCATTTGACCTGGGACCGGGCTGGCACAGCCCCACTAATGACTTCACACCTCCTCACAAGGCTTCCCACATCCTGAAATCATTTTAGGGGTGTCCTCCTCGTCTGGGCTGGTTTTTTACAGGAGCCCCCTTCCTGTCCAGGGAAATACAGCCTCGTTCCGTTTCAGAGGCTGGAAGGAGCACAGGGAACCCTTGCCCAGGATGCAGTGTGTGTGTGTGTGTGGGGGGGGGGGCCCACAGCAGCTGTGGGTGCTGACCTGGCTGTTGCCTGCTGCTGTTAGCAGGCAGTCCCGGCCCAGCCATCCCAGGCACCCACTCAGCCCACAGCCACCAGGCTTGTGTCCCCATCAAGACTCTTCCCAGCAAACCTCCTATCCCCACATCCCTGTGACTCTTCAGGATTAAGACAAAACAAAACACCTTCCATCTAAACCAGAGACCTACTATCGATTAAGTACCAGTCTAATAACTATTGATTGGGCACTGTTTCATTAGAAGGTTGTCCTCCCCCACCTGGACTTAGATGGCACAATGTGCTTCTGAAAGGCTCTATCTGAAGGTGGTGGGCAGGAGGTCAGAGGCGGTGGGCTAGCAACAACAGAAGTAAGCACAGACGAGGGCTGCCTACCTGTGCCCTTCCCCCACCTCACCTTGTCTCAGTGGGGAGGACCAGGACGGGGTCATGGGTGGTTCCCCGAGGAAGCAACTCAAAAACACCCACTGCTGTCGAGTGCATCCCAACCCAGAGCCACCCCACAGGACAGGGTAGAACTGCCAAGACTGTCACTCAAAGCCTCATTTGTCTCCTGAGGAGCAGCTGGTGGTTTTGAACTGCCGGCCTTGTGGTGAGCAGCCCAACATGTACCACGCGAGCTCAAGGCGGTGCCAACCCCTAACAGAGTCATCCACCAGGACATCAGCTGCTGCCCAGTTGCCTGAATTCATGTTGATGCCACCTTTCCTGGGGGCAGAATCGGGCTCCAGAGTTGTGTTCGGTGGTGGCTTTTCCAAAAGTGAATCACCAGCCCATTTCCCGAGGGGCCTCTGGAGGGACATGGCAACTTTCAGTTAGAGGCCAAGCACTTAACCCTTTGCACCACCCAGGGACGACGTGTCCATCCCAGCTGGGTCACCAAGGGTAAGGTAGAGAGAGGGTATTGGAGGCCCACTTGGTGGCATCGAGTGGACCTGGCGGCTCCACACCCAGGAGTGGGGTCCTCCCTGGAGGAGCTGGTGGCTGGAGGCCCTTCTCGGAGGGTCCCTGCCAGCTCAGAGCCTGAGGGTGACATTGTCCTGAACCTGAGCGCCATGTGCCGGAGCAGGCTGGCAGGCCTCCGCCCCAGCCCACAGCGGCCTCTAACTCTATGCCCCTCTCTGTTTCTGGGGCTCTCGAGGTTAACGGTAAGGAAGCAAATCGAGCTGGCAAGACGGAGGGCTTTCTTGCAAGTTGCAGTCACTCCACAGCGCTCAGGCTCCGGCGCAGGCCCCGGGGAACGTGGCTGGAAAAGTACCTGAGAATATCAAGGTTGCATCCATCGGCCCAGGATTGGTTTGTTGTATTATGCCCTCTGGTGACATTGAGGCCTTATTAATAACGAAACATTTGTCACAACGGTAATTATATTTCTGGGGCCTGGATGGTGTGTGTGGGTGCCACTGTGCTGTTTACACCCGGAAGGGAGGGTGTGAATTATTCAGGCAGTCGGTCTGAGTCCACGCACGGCTCCCCGGCCGGAGCCGGCTGGCGGCGTGCAGCCAGTAAGTTGCCTTCTCTCACCCCCTTGCAGGCTCTCCGTGTCTCCGCTGACGCTCCCTTGACGGGCTGGCCAGTAGCTTGGAGAACATCGCCCTGGATCGCCGATGCGGCTGCCTGAGCAACCTGGAGAGGGGAAACCTGAGAATGAGGACAAGGGGAACCTCGGAGCCCCCAGAGGGGGCAAGGAGCTGCCACCAAGCCAGGCCCCCAACTTCCCCACTTGGCAAGTCCTCTCCCCCAACCCCCTTGGAGAAAAGAGCTTTCTTGAATGTTTGCTCTGGACCTTGAGTGCTTGGCAGCCCTCAGGTAGGGGTGGGAGGAGTCTTGGCCCTTGAGTGTCCCTGGGTGTGTGTTTGTTGGGGGTGGGGCAGGATGAGGGTGGCGGGGGATGCAGAGAGGATGAGCTGGCCCAGCTGGGCACTCATATCCGATGAGTCCTATTTCCTGAGCCTAACAGGTTTCTAAGGATTATAGTTGAGATGTGTGGATGGGCCAAGGAAGGGGAGGAGGAGGATGGTGCTGGGACATGGACGATCAGGAACTGGCAGGGGATTGTGGTGGGGGCAGTGGGGTTGGTGGGGGGAGCCGTGGCGATAGCATGG